AATCATCTTTCGATAGCTTTGAAAATTGATTGTTGATTCAAGAATTTGAGCGATTTTGAAAGTGGGTTTGTCTCTTATTCTTTTAAAATGATCTTATGGGTTTTGATCTTCGTTGATTGAAGAAAAGATGATTTTGGAAAGTTTTCTTTCAACAGATTTGAGTTGTATAGCTTTGGTGAGAAAACCTAGAATTTGGAAAAAAAATTTAAAGAGACTGAAAATCTATGAATGATATTGTTATATTTCTTTTGTGTGTCAAAATAAATGGGTGTTTGGAAAAATTTTTATTTATATTTATATAAATTATGAATTTTAGGGAATATGAGAATTGTTATTCATTTTGGAAATTATTGTTCAAAACGTTGAAATAGTCTTGAAATGACTAATTGTTGAGGATATTTGAGAAGAGGAAATTGTGTTATTCCTTGGATGATGAATTGAAATAAAAGTATTTATATTCATCTTGTGTTATTGGCATATCAATTCATTTGATTACATTAAACTTTGAAAACTTGTATTGAGAAAAGAATGTTGAGAAACAAGTTTTCATAGAATGGTTTTGGGGTAAATACGTTGGTAAGTCTTGATAGGTGGTGTAGATGATATTAAATAAGTTGGCCTGAGAGTCCGGGTGAAAGACCGAAATCCCGTGCGGATAGGTGTCGAGCCTTCCAGTTAATATCGATAAAAATGACAAGTTGGTAATACTTGTATAGTCTACTTCTAGACACCGACCTAGGGATTACCAGAGTCGTATTTACCACTCTTAAAATGAATTGTTAAGTTTTGAAGAATTGAAATTGCATAACATCATTGAGCATGACAGTTTTCAAAGATGAAGATGTGATTTTCTTTCAAAAGGACATAGCATGGCATGTGCATTTCATCTCTTGAGACTTGTATAAAATGTATATACTTTGTTAAGGATTTCCTACTGGGCTTTATGCTCACCTTATGGGATTTTTGTGCAGGAAAAGATGTGGTGATGCCACCTAACTACAGGCGAGGAAATGTGTGTTGAGAGTACGAGACTCTCATTTTGCTATGACTCTGTGTGTAAGCCAAGGGCTGTATGTGTGTGGGTTTGCATAACCGTTTTGTGTAACCAGGCTCAAGCCTTGGAAACTTGTAAACCCTTGGGGGTATTTATTTGTTTATTTACTTGTTGTTGGATTAATGTATTGTAGCATGAAGACTATCGTATCATGTAATGTAAGTTTGGGGATTTATATTCGGTTTTCCTTGAAAGAGACATGATTGCTGTATTATCATTTGAGCTAGAAATTTGGGGCGTTACAATTTCACCTATTAACTTTGAGGTTGTGGGTTCGAACTAAGTGCAGCAATTTTGTACAAATTATGACAAATGTTAGGTCTCTACCCAGTATACTCCTCCTAGAACCCTATCCAATGGAGACTAAAGAGGTAGTACTATTTTTTAGTCACTGTACATGATTACTATGGGACTAGGGCTACACTTGGGGAGCCACTTTCTTTGCTTCATTTCTTGCTTTTTGTCATGGATAGATCTCCTCTTTTTGTCGGAGGTAGTGGAACTGGTGTTCACCCTTCATGACAACCACTTCTGAATAAGTGATAGCAGTAAACAAAATCTTAAAATGATGTAGGCACTGCCATGAGAATTCTTTGAGACCCATGATAATTTGTAAAGGCTCAAATTGTCTCTTTGATGATTTGGGTTTCGATGGTTGTGTTATTCTGAATCAGATGGGAGTTAGAGCCGGATTTCACTCTAGACAAACTGGTTTCTTAAGAAACTTAGAATCCGAGGTGTTGATGCTCCAAAATCACCAAACGGCGTTGGATTAGCACAAAACTTGGCACACACGACCGCGTAGGCACGAGAGACTTGTGGGAGAAGACGGGACTTGAATCGGATTCCCAATTTGGGAGTTAGAGCCGGATTTCACTCTGAAGAAACAAACTAGTTTCTTAAGAAACTTAGAATTTGAGATGTTAATGCCCCAAAATCACCAAACAACGTCAGAGTAGCACGGAACTTGGCACACACGACCGCCTAAGCATGAGAGACTTGTGGGAGAAGACGGGACTCGAATCGGATTCCCAGTTTGGGAGTTAGAGTCGTATCTCACTCTTAAGAAACAAACTAGTTTCTTAAGAAACTTAGAATTTGAGGTGTTAATGCCCTAAAATCACCAAACGGCATCGGAGTAGTACGAAACTTGGCACATACACCCGCCTGGGCACGAAAGACTTGTGGGAGAAGACAGGACTCGAATTGGGTTCCCGATTTGGGAGTTAGAGCTAGATTTCACTTTAGGCAAACTAGTTTCTTAAGAAACTTAGAATTTGAGGTGTTAATGCCCCAAAATCACCAAACGGCGTCAGAGTAGCACGAAACTTGGCACACACGACTGCCTAGGCACAAGAGACTTGTGGGAGAAGACAGGACTCGAATCAAGTTCTCGGTTTGGGAGTTAGAGCCTGATTTTACTCTAGACAAATTAGTTTCTTAAGAAACTTAGAATTCGAGGTGTTAATGCCCCAAAATCACCAAACGGCGTCAGAGTAGCACGAAACTTGGCACACACGACTGCCTAGGCACGAGAAACTTGTGGGAGAAGACGGGACTTGAATCGGGTTCCCGATTTGGGAGTTAGAGCCGATTTCATTCTTAAGAAACAAAACTAGTTTATTAAGAAACTTAGAATTAGAGGTGTTAATGCCTCAAAATCACCAAACGGTGTCGGAGTAGCACGAAACTTCGCACACACGATCGCCTAGGCATGGAGACTTGTGGGAGAAGATGGGACTCAAATTAGGTTCCCGATTTGAGAGTTAGAGCCGGATTTCACTCTTAAGAAACAAACTAGTTTTTAAGAAACTTAGAATTCGAGATTTTAACACTCCAAAATCACCAAACGGCATCGGAGTAGTACGAAACTTGCACACACCGACTGCCTAGGCACGAGAAACTTGTGGGAGAAGACGGGACTTGAATCGGGTTCCCGATTTGGGAGTTAGAGCCGGATTTCGGTCTAGGCAAAATTATTTACTTAATATATTGGTAATTGTATAGTAGTTACATTTTTATGTTTTTTTTTGTAATTAACATATTAACACATAATTATATTGTCATTAATTATATTTATTTTTTGTTTTCAGATATTTCCCGAATTGGAGTTTTGCTTCTTGTGGAATGTATGTCTGTGAAGAATGCGACTAATTTTTGTTTTTGTTACCAACGGAGAATGATGAGCAAAACTTGTAATTTTGGTTTATGTTATTTTGAATTATGAACATCATTATGTATTTAAACATTATATATGTATTATTGAACATTATGTACTGGGATAATTTTGTTGATGCGTAGTTAGGAATGCAAGAATATTTTTATTATGGAGAAATTATTTTTTCTATACAGGAATTTTATATTATTATGCAATTATTGGTTTCTTTTTCAATTGTTTTTCATTTAATACAGGTAATTTTAATAATTTTAATAATTATATGCCAGTTTTTTTTTTTTTTTTTTTCGCTACGGCACCATACCGTCGCAAAAAATATTAGGACCATTGGCAACAGTGGATGCCGTCGCAAAAAAATAGAACCATTTGCGACAGCATTTTTTGCTGTCTCAAATAACACTTTAAGCGACGGTAAAATGGTGCCGTCACAAAACGTTTGACTTTTTTACATATTATAGTCGATAGCAAATTGCTGTCGCTAAAAAAAAACGACGGCATGATGCCATCGCTAAAAGTCTTTTGCAACGCCTTCTGTTGTGACCCCCCATTTGCCGTCGCTAAAAGTCATTTGCCATCGCTAAAACTTTTTGAGATGGCACGAAGAGTATTTTCGACGGTACGTGCCGCCGCAAAAAATCGAAATTTTTGTAGTGATATTTTTTGTAGGTTCTACTCTAAATTTATAATGACGATATGAACTTTTATCTAATAAATCTTGTAGTAAAGACTATCTATTTAAAATCAATTTCGTCGTAAGTTAATGAATGACAAAAATATTTTGTTTTATAAAATAAATATTTTAAGTTTAAATTTGTAATTATGCAATTTACTAATATGTCTAGTGATATCTAATGAATTTAATTTTTTACACAACTTATCTTTACTGCTAGACATATAAGATGAACGGTTCAAATTAGTGGTGGACCTAGAATTTTTGGTAAGAGGGAGCCAAAACTCTGTATACAAATGTTTAGACCTATAATCATAAACTCATTACAAATTTTATTTATCACATAATTACAAATGTTTTGTATGTATGTATGTTGTACTAAAATAATTATTTTTATAAAGCATAAAAAATAATTGTTATCATTAAATTTACAGAAAAATAAATAAGTAAAATAAATAAAATAATAAAAAAAGTAGTCACTAGACATTTACAAGACAAAAAATTTTAAAATGATATTATAAACTCTTTTACCCTTTGTACAAAATATAAGATTAAAAAATAGTAACATACAAATATTTTTTGATGTTGATCATAGTCACATTGAATTGTAATTAACACCAATTAAAGCTATAATCAAATCTCATTTTGATAGTAATCAAAGTCCCTCAATGAGTTGCAATGAATATCACTAAACATAATCAAAATTATAATGGAACGTAACTAAATTTAATTTAATATTTCTGCAGTTCTACCATCATAATGATGCATAACGAAACACCACAATATATATATTTGTTGCTAATATCAATTTAAATATAAACTTACATATGGTAATACATGACTCTAGTTAAATACTTCAAACTAATTGACACTTTTGAGAGGAAAAAAATCAAAACTTAGAGAGTCCAACTCTTTAAAATTATACACTACAGGAAAAGGGTGATTTGGTGGCGTTTTTTTAACGACGTTTCTGTAAACGTCACAGTTATTAGTATTTAACGGCGTTTTAAAAACGCTGCATATTCTATTAAACAAAACGACACCGTTTTATAATGGGAGGCGTTTAAAACGCCTCCGAATGTGGTGACCCACATGCGCCCCTTTCTGTGAAAACCTTATTTTGAATCAGAGCTCTCAACCCTTAACACATGCCCACAGATCTCTCTCTCTCAACCCTCTCCATCGAAGCTCCATCGAAGCTTAAATAAAAAAAGATTCAGATCGAAGCCCCGATCTGAACAAAACCTGATTCAGATCCATCGAAGCTTAAATCACTCTCTCTTGCTTCAAACCCTTTCGTTTCTCTCGATTCGCAGATCAGTCTTATCTCTATCTCTAGTTCATGTTCGAGTTCGCAGGTCTTTCTTCATGGTAAGTGTTGATCAGTCTTATCTCTATCTTCTCACAGTCAAGCTCGATTGAAGATGATACTTACTGATGGAATCATTCGATTCAGGTTTGCTAGGTTTTATCTAGATCAGATCGATCGATTAAAGATCTATTGATTGATTGAACGTGATTTCGAAGTTCAACCTTCTTCAGCTCGGTGATTCAATCTCAGATTCGTTCGGCGATTTCGAAGTTCTCTCTCGATTTCAAAGCTCGGTGATTCAATCTCAGATTCGTTCAGTGAGGAAAGTGAGCACACATCATCTACCAAGGTGAGCACCTTCAGATTCGCTTCAGATTCGCTTGTTTTTTTCCCCTAAATTAGCATGTTGAATTTTAATCTCTGTTTTTTTATTACCCTAAATTAGCATCAGTTTGGATTGATGAAGTTATAACTGAAAGGAGTTTTTTATTTTTATTTTTTTGGACAGTGTAATTGGAAGGAGTTATATGAGACATTAGAGATTTATGGGTGGGTGGGTGTAGTTTTCAGGATGATGTTAATTTTTCCAAAGTAATTAATATGGATCCAAAGTATTTATATGAGTTATATGAGACATTAGAGATTTTATTTTTTTTCCTTCTAATCTTTATCGACTCACATGTTGGCATCCTCTATATTATGGAACTAAGCTTCATTGACTATCTTTATCTTTACCTGTATTTCTTATTCCTATGCATGAGCTTTGCCAATATTGACAGCTTTCCATTCAAGCTAGACAGTCGGTGATTGCGGTTTCTCTATTATACTTCATCTATTGCCTCATGCCACAATTAGTGCATTTTCTTTGTTTATTTATTTGTGTTTGGTACTTTGCACTTGTTTATCTTTACAGACCTTACTGTATAATTTATTTATGTCTTAACAACTTTGAATAGGCTGCATGTGTAAGTGCTTTTATGTCGTGCAATAGAACAACTCACATTAGTAAATTTAGTTTTTCTCTTTGAATGAGGTTTACTCAGTGAATTTTAGTCTATGCTTGTGTGTTGCCTCTGGTACAGTTTAGGTGTTTCCTTGCCGTTTTGGATTATCGATAGCTTATGTAGGTATTAGGCAACCAGTTATGGCCTGCCCCGGCATAGGGTTAGACAATGGTACCTTAGCATGGTGCAAGTTGTGGTAGCTTATTGTTGCATGGGTCTACTGACAGTCCGGGCAATAAAGTAAATAGTTGCCACCATGCTGTGTTGTTTGGTTGGGGTGGCTTTAGCATTCTAATTACAGTTGTAATAGATAAGACACATTAAGAGTAAATATCGAAGAAATGGGAAATGGGGAAAGTAATTGATATATGGAATGCAAAAGAGTGCAAGTGAGACATGCCTAGTGCAAACTGATTTGCAATTACTTTCTCCAATTCCCATCTATCTGATATTTCCCCCACATTTAAAGTTTTTCTGTCCATCAACTGATTAGTTCTTAAGTGGAGCTTCAGTCCAAGAATCAACGTGACCAAATGATCTGAAACTGCTTTTAAATCATTTGATTTTCAGAACTTATCAGTCCCTAAAACTTAATTATCCTCGATGAGGAACTTCATTACTTTCTTTCTTCTACTCTTTGTGGTTGGATGTTATTGTTCTTCTCCCTGTCTTTTTTTTTTTTTTTTTTCTGTCATTGTTCTGTGTAACACTTGTTCTTTTTGTTGCCTAACATCTGTTTAGCTTTTGGATATTTTCAATTCCAAACATCTGAAGAATGTTCATTTTGCAATTTATCAGTGCAGGCTCTTTATATATCTTGGCTAAATAATTCCATTAGCAGACCCGAAGTCGTGCCCAAAATACTTTTGAAGGTCCAAAAAATGATACTATAGCACATGTGCCACCACCTCGAAAGGAACCAAAAATGGTTTGGCCTGTGATGAACAATGAAAGTACATATGGCAGAGGATTTTGTTTGAATTTGGTCATTCTGACATGCTATTTCTTTTAAAAATTGGCAGTTTTAGCACCATTACAAGCTTTCATGGTTATCCTTCCTGTTGAATTCCGTTACACCTGGATATTCTCCATGGGATGACACTTCCATGCTCATACATTCTCCATCAGGTGGAATCATGCTATCCCAGGATGAATACAATCTTCATGGAGTCGAAGGCATGCATAAGTGTTTTTATTTGTGTTATTAGTGTGTTTGAACTTGGCTTCTGCTATATCTAATATGAGCTAGTGTTTTTAAGTGCTTAAGTAGGGAGTTTTTCTCCATTTTTGAAGCCTAAGAAAACATGTAGGCTAATTAAATGCTTTCAAGACATTATGGAGTTGGGTCAAATGATATGTCTTTTGTAGGCTATTTAAATGCTTTTCAAGACATTATGTAGCAACATATCAGATAATAACTGAACATTCTTGCAGGCTTGCGCGCAATTCAAGGTGTACTGCCTTCTCAAAAGGATCACTTGAAAGAATTGTGTTTGCGGAACGGTAAAAATCTAATTTATCCTACCAAAACGTAACTTCTCATGTGGAAATAGGGCCTATTTGGTAATGTCTTTTGTTTTCTGTTTTTTGTTTTAAAAAATTTTGAAAAATGGAAACAAAAAACAAGTTGGTTAATCTTAAAGGTGGCATACCGCAACTTCCCATTTGGGCTTTTCTTGTCAGCCGGGTACAAGAAGATTCCTCCATAAGCAGAGTACGGTGAACATCTGCTACCATACTGCATGAAGTTGAGCAATTTACTAAAACTTTTGTGGGGTTTTTTTTCTTTCTACGGTTGTCGCTAGATTGCCATGTGTACAGGACTCACTTTGTAATTTACATTGTATTTAGCTTCATTACTGAACTTTCTGGTTTCCCAATGTCTTCAGAATTTTATACTCACATCTGTTTCATTTTTCAGGGCAATTTTTTACTACATTATTAATATCATTCCACAGGTTGGGAATGGGAGTCATGTATTTAATTGGGGAAAGAGGCAAGTCACTCCATATTTAACCTTCCATGTATATACTTATTTATGTAGATGTATATGGAGTGTGGAACTGCAAGTGAACAACACAAGATACATCGTAGGGAAATTTTATGGTTGCTAAAAACAGGTTCATTACTGAAAGTTTACATTTTGGTATGGCATTTAAAGCTTACAAGTGGAATGTCACTAGTTTGGGAGAAAACTTGTTGTGACTGAGCTTGTCTATTTGTGTGAATAAGTTTAGTTTTCAGTACATGTTTTTGCAGACATAGCACAATAGTGTATATTATATCATATATTCTGGTACAATTGAAACTTAGGTACTCTGCTCTGCAAAAATTTAGTTCTGATCTTTTTTTCTATTTGTACCATTTGGGAATTTTATTTTTTTTTTTATTTGAGCTAGAGAATTAGCAATTCAAATTATTGTCATCAAAAGAAGTGTTTTTAGGGAAGCAAGGAAAACTTTGTGGATAAAAGACCTGCTAAGGTTTTTTGACCTTACAATTGATTGGTCCAACCTAAGAACATGAACATGACCACGAAGAAGTTAATGGATAGTAGATTTCATCTGATACATATATGATTCATTCAAATTATATTAATTGAGTTTTTAAAATTGGGTAAATATAGTCATTGTCTTATGATTTGGCTTTCATTCACTTCTTCATATTTGTATGCATCTAGGAGTTGGTCCTACCATTATGAAAACCTGTGTCCTGGTTTGTGCCTTTGTTCATTAATTCATCATCTAAGAACGGTGGTTTACGATATTTTGTTATTTTCATCTATTACTGTCAATAAGTCTATTATTCTTCTTGGGCAACTCTTATTTATTTTCTGTCTTCCTTCTTTTTAAGGATGAATTCTTAAGCAATATTTTGAGGGAAGAGGGCGGTTTTGATTACAAGAAAGCAATTGTTGATTCAATTGTTATCCTTATAAGAGACATCCCAGATGCCAAAGAAATGGGCTACTTCACCTTTGTGAATTTTGCGATATCTCATAATTCACTATGTTTTCTTTATTCTGAGAAGAGGAATGGTTAACCATTTGTTTGCAGGTTCGTGATAGGGCTACTCTATATCTGAATATGCTTGAAGTTGATGGTGCAATTGTTGAAACTGATAAAAGATGTGAAGAACTTCCTTTTTGGGTCTTTGGATGTGCCATTAGTCAACCTGGAGATGAGTTTGAAGAACTACGTGAGTGTTCCCAGAGAGTTGTCAGTCTCTTTATGCATTGTGCAATGTTTGTTATCATATTCTCACGTGTTTGTTCAATACAGGTTCAAGAACCTTCAGAAGAGCCTTTTGATATTGATTCTGTACCTAAGGAGGTTAAGTCTCTTCCACTTGCCGAGAAGAAGGCCCCTGGAAAAAGCCAACTGGTTTTAGGTGCTGCTCCAACTGCTCCCACGTCCACTGTTGATGCTTATGAAAAGTCAGTGAGTGTAGTTCAGATTGATTTTTAATTGTTATGTTACAATAAGTGATGTTTTGCATGTATTTAAACAGTGGGAATTAACTGCTTATGCAAAAATGGTTAACTGAATTCTCGTCTTATGGTATGTAAACAGTGGGAATTAACTGAATTCTTTCTTCAAGAAGCATAGTGTATGTTAGTTGAACCATGTTTTGAACATATATGTCTTCTATCAATGGTCTAATGGCAATTCATAGAAAGTTCTTAGCCCTAGTTGAACATTTAAAATTGATTACCTCCATTTTCCTGATTTTAGATATTGAAATGCGGTTAACTGCCTTTTTGTATTGCATGGTCTATCTTTTCCTATGGAGTAGGGATAAGGTTG